ATTTAATAATTATTAACAACACAACACTATCCCAAATTAAAGATAACCTATTACAAAAGCTTTCCTTATATAGCAAAAGACTTAAAAGATACAAACAATCACATCTCAGAAAAATGCATAACACTAAATTTTTAAATAACGAAAAACTATTCTATCAACATTTAACTAATTCAAGCAAAACTCAATTATCCGGTGAACTTCCAAGTTCACAGGATGTAACAACATTTTGGTCAAAACTTTGGTCTCAAGAATTTGAATTTAACCAATCTGCCAAATGGATTCCTCATATATCCCATAAACTATCCACAGTTACACCAATGAATGATCATCAGATAACACTTGCCGAATTAATAAATACCATCAATAAGACACACAACTGGAAATCACCAGGACCAGACAAAATCCATAATTTTTGGATAAAAAAATTAAATTGTGTACATATTCATTTACTACATCACTAAAATCAGTTCCTTCTTGACCCATCCTCCTTTCCAACATTCTTATGTCATGGTGTAACATACCTAAAACCTCAAGATAACGACACAAAAAATCCATCACAATACAGACCTATCACATGTTTACCGAGAATCTATAAAATATTAACTTCATGCATTACACAAAAAATCTATCAACACTGTTTTAACTCTGACATCATTAATGAAGAACAGAAAGGATGTATTAAAGGATCCTTTGGTTGCAAAGAGTAATTAATCATAGATTCCATCATCTGTGAACAAGCTAGAAAAGAAAACCGAAACATATATACTGCTTTTATTGATTATAAGAAAGCTTATGATTCTGTCCCTCATTCCTGGCTATGCAAAATTCTGGGAATTCTGGAATTATACAAAATTGATATTAAAATCTGCACTTTTCTCAAATGTTCCATGGAATTTTGGAAGACCACCCTCCAAATAACCTTAAATGAACAAACAATTCAGTCAGATCCAATAATGATCCGAAGAGGAATTTTTCAAGGCGATTCTCTTAGCCCGTTATGGTTCTGCTTAGCAATAAATTCCCTCTCCGATATCCTGAACAGCTGCAATTATGGGTTCAATATAAGAATTAACAAACAAAGAGAAAACAGAATAAGTCACTTGCTGTATATGGATGACATAAAAATATATGCAAGTACACAAAATCAGTTAACAAACCTATTAAATGTGACTGAACAGTTTTCCGGTGATATTGGTATGTGTTTTGGTATTGAGAAATGTAAGACCCAAGCAATCAGAAAAGGCGTCCAACACCAAGTACCACATATAACCCAGAATAACGAAATAATCAAAGTCCAAGAACGAAATGATACATACAAATATCTGGGTTTCTGTCAATCCTCCCACATCAATCATACCAAAACGAAAACACAGTTGAAAGATCAATACCTAGCGAGATTAAAATTAATATTGAAGACACAGTTAAATGGAAAAAATTTAATGAAAGCAGTAAATACATTCTGCGTTCCACTGCTAACATATTCTTTTGGAGTCATTAAATGATCCAAAACTGATCTTGAAAATTTAAACATCGCAACAAGGAAAATCTTCACACAGTATAGAAGGCATCATCCAAAATCGTCCATTGAAAGATTCTCATTACCAAGACAGAATGGAGGAAGGGTTTTCCAGAACCTAGAAAACTTATATCAGAGACAAATCTCAGATCTGAAGAAGTATTTCTTGAAACGAGCAGAAAGAAATGAAATGTTTCGCACCATCACAGATTTGAACCACACACCCTTAAATCTGTCGAACACCGAAGAAATCCACACCCCCCACAAAATAGACAAAATAATAAGTGGGCTAAAACAAAAACAACTACATGGAAAATTCTACAAAGACTTAGAAGAAACTCATGTCAACAAGAAGATGTCATTGATTTGGTTAAAAAAATCAAGTTTGTATGCCGAAACAGAAGGATTTGTGTTTGCTATTCAAGACCAAGTAATCAATACCAAGAATTACAGAAAATACATCATCAAAGATCCGAATACAAGAGACGACTGCTGTCGTCTCTGCAAAGCAAAACCTGAAACGATCCAGCACATAATCTCCTCCTGCAGGATCCTGGCACAAACTGACTACAAAGCTAGACACGACAACGCAGCCAAAAATATTCACAAAGAATTAGCAACACTTATGAACTTAATCGAAGATACGACACCCTATTACACTTACATTCCATCTCCGTTCCTTGAAAATAACAAATACCAATTATACTGGGATCGCACAATACTTACAGACTTAAACATTACAGCTAACAGACCAGACATCATATTTATAAAAAAACACACGAACGAAGCCATTCTTATTGACATTGCTATTCCTAATACAAACAACATTATTCATAACATACCACACCAAGATTTCAAAATATCTACAATTATCGATAGAAATGAAATCCATGTTGATTCTTAAAAAAAATTCACTTCTACCCTTAGTTATCTCTAATGTAGGTGTAGTCCCAAATAGCTTAGTTGAGAATTTAAAGACTTTGCATTTGAATGATTCAATAATAGTCAAAATTCAAAAAGCCGTTTTGTTAGGAACATGTCATATTTTTCGTAAGTTTCTCGAACAGTCTGATCATGTCAGTCAGATTAGATTAGCACCAGTAGGACAGAGTAGTGTAGGTCACTTTTCAAGTGATGCGCGGATAAATGATCGGTAGTTACGCTAGACTTTTGGGGATGGGGTGAGATTAGAGAATAATAGCAGACTAATTTGTATGCTGTAATTCTAGAATCTCGAAAATTGTTTTGTTAATCTAATCAATGCATATCATTACTTGGTCTTGGTACCCGTAATGATAGAAGTCTTGCCTGAATGCCGGTCATTTCCGGATCAGTGGTGGGTCTTAATTAAATTATTTATTAAAGTCGTCAACAGACAGACGATAGTCGCCAGATAATAGACGACAGACGACAAATGACGATAAACTAAAGACCATAGACAGATGGAAACGGTAGCCCTACTTTTTCAAGTGTTAGAACATATAAAATGTCGAGAAAACAAAAATACTTAATTGGTTTATGGGTAGGAAGTTTGTTCCTATTAGCTCTACCTGACAGCACCAGTGTGAAAACAAGGTAAAAAATATACAATATAAGGATTTTGTAAGTTGTTCTTGATAAAGATTCTACATCTTCTTTTTTAATATAGGTCCCACTAGTTCTATTGTACAAAATCGTCGAAAAATGGTTATTCCTTCCAATTTGCCATCTCCCAAACAAGGAACTGAATAGCTTCGCGGTAATTATATCTAGCTTTAATATATCTAATTTATTCTAATGACAGCTGAGACATGATATATGTATAAAGATCACTAAGCTGGTTTTCACTTAAGTGTTATGTAAAATTTGTTGGAATATTAACATGAAATTTATTTATCCTCAAACTAGATTTCATATTTCAAATTTTATATCGCTGTTGTCTTCTGAATAAATAATATATATTATGAATAGCAAGTACTGTTCAAATTTGTTTTTCACATTCGTTCAAATTTTTAATTTTCTAGCGAAAGGAATCGTCGACGAGGTATTGTTTTTTCGATGGAGATTTTATAATTTGTAATGTTGTGATTACCAGTATACAGTTTATTGTAACATTTGTTTTGTCAAATATAGTTAGACCCAAATTTAACTTTCGAGGTTGTAAATTATGATTGGAGTTCGTGTCGAGGTACTGACAAAACAGTAGTCTAACTCACTATTGTGTTTTTCAAGTGTTATATACAAAAACAACGTTTCGACATTATACATCCTCCTTTTAGTATAGATGACTTCACAAAAAAACTAAATTAAAAATTACTTGTTAATTTAACTAATTCTAGTAAAGCTGACAAATTTTTGTGAACATGTGTGTTATTAGAATGCTTTTTTTAGTGAATATTTAATAAAAAGCAGGTCTAGTTTATGAAACTACGACCAACTAATTTTTCAGAAATTAGAACAAATGTTCTTCATAGAATATTTTTACATAATATATTGGTGCCAATTAAGTCAACATTTTTCGATCAACTTTCGGGGTAAACATCCTCATCAATCTGTTCGTTAAAGATTCACTTGGTTAAATCTGAAACACAAGAATTTAAAAATCATACCAACGTACAAACACAAAAACAAGTTATCAGCATCTGATAGGATCCAGGGATCTTCAACTTTCAGGTTGTAAAATTTGATTAGTATACAATATAATTTTCTTTTCTTTGTTGAGTACACTACATGAATTTTGAAAATTTAACAGGAATCAATTTTTGTTTTGTTTTAAAAAATCACTAAAAAATTTATTCGTAGCAAGTTTAAACAATTATTTTTTCTTAATTCAGAAGAAACATAATTTTTCGTCACATGCCAGGAAACTTACATATTAATTTATTATGTATGAGGCAACAGTGTTTTGTTATTATAATAAAAAAAGAAATTTTTATACAGATCATGAAACAAAACTTCGAAATATATGTTTAATGTATAATGTATTTAGTATGATTGGAAATTTAATTCAGGTTTATACTCGTCATATGAAAGTCTAAACCACTGCAAATTCATTGCACCATCTCCATTTCAGTGGCTATAATATTCAAGTTGTTATGACTTATTTTTTGTAAATTTTTAATTTAGTTCATTTATTATTTATATTGTTTATTTTTTTACTTGTTAAATACTACATTCATCATGGTGCTACACATTTGTTAAGATCTTTTTTATTTTATAATAATTTGATTACTGTGTACTTTAAAAAATATTTTTTAAATGTGGTGATAACTAAACTACCAAACAGTAATCTACGGGGCATAAAAGTAACCTCCGTCGTGGTAGCATGCTTAGACAAAATAGTAATTACTCACGTGTGAAAAAACAGCGTTGGCCAACACTCTCCCCACGACTCTAATTGCAAAACAAGAAACTCTCGTTAGTTGATATTTAAACACCACATATATATCAAACATTGCTTAATTATAAGAAACTACGAAAGCTAATACAGCATGTTCTAAATTCGTTAATATAGCTACATATATGTATTAATTTGTAGTTACAAACATTTGAAAAGTAAAGTGAATTCACTATCCAATACAAGAGAAAGTGAAAACTTTTGTTTAAGTCTGTTTATCAGTCCTGCATCAAATCGGCACCAACTTTGCAACCGATAGTGTCGAAACTGATCAACGAATAAATTGCCACAGTGTACAAAATGTTGCCCCTGTTCATAGTTACTACAATTTTGGTGTATTGCGAAGCAACTCTCGACACAAATACAGTTCGTAAGTGCAGACATTTTTATTATTTATAACAAAAATTTAATGTTCACTGTTTATGTTGGTTCAGATTTAATGTAAAAACAACGAAACTAATGAATACTAAGAAAATGGGATACTGAAATCTGCATTTTTTTAGTGGTGACACAGTTTCAGTTATGTAAATAGTTTGTAGATGAATTTAGTTCTTACAACGATAACATTTTAAATAAGGTATATTTAAATAAAATGACCTCCAAATTTTGCACATAGTTTTTTACACGTGTAGAGGAAGTTGAAGAAAATTTGCTGCTATAAGATAACAATATATACAACAATCCAGAAGTAAATCGGCAGTTACGTTTTGAACGTACATAATAAAGTTGAAGGCGATTATTTAACGAAATAAAACTTATTTTACATAACAGTGTTAAAAGTCTTACACGTGAAGTGGTTTCGAGAAATGATTTTTTATCCTGCACGCAATGCACTTCCGTTTTAGCTAAGCTGTAATAATTCAGAAATTTTAAACTAAATTTGCATATCAATCTCTAATTGCGCAAACTTTATTATTCAACTATTATTATGATAATCGTATCAGTTCTCTTTGTCAAAGAAAACAAGGTCATTACCGTCGTTTTTAATTAACGCTGCATCTGAAAGTTTTATATTTCCACCACATTTTACAACCGGTAAATATTGTTTTCGTGTTTATGTGCACTTTTTAGAAATGACCAGTCACACATATAATCCTGGTGAAAAAATATTGCTTTCACTTGTAACGATCACTGCAAAAAGAAGAGAGCATTCAAAGCAAAGGAAAGTCGTCAAGGGCCATTGACATCTTCATGTTAAATGTACAATACATAGAACGCCACTAATTGATATATTTTTTTTTCAGCACCTTATGTAAAACAATGTTTCGAAGGCGATCCAAAACTTATCGAATGTTTCGAAAGTGCAGTGCATCATTTAAAACCTTATTTGGCAACTGGTATTCCAGAAATAGAACTTCCAACTGTGGAACCGTTTCTTATGGATGAATTGTCATTGTCCTTGACAACAGGCCCAAATGGTTACAAAGTGTCTTTGAAAGAAATCGATATTTTTGGAGCAAGTAATTTCACCGTATCAAAATTAAAGTAATTGAATATTTATGTAAAGGCGACTTATCTCAAATTTCTTTTTTTTTTTTAGATTGAGTGAAAATGGAAAGCCGTTTGAAGCCAAAATCCATTTACCTCTGTTACGAATAAATTCAAGATACACTAGTAGCGGAGTACTTATTATCGTACCAGCAAGTGGTAATGGCACATTTAATGCTCAGTTAGGTACATTATACATATTGCAAGTCATCTGGAATAAACTAATACTTACTTATTTTTTTAGAGGACGTTAACGCGTTTGTTAAAGGAACGGCAAGCGTCAACGAAAAAGAAGGCTTAAAATTTCTTCACGTCGACACTTTGAATGTCGATTTAAACGTCAAAAATATTAGGATGTCCGTGAAGAATATTTACAAGAACAACAGAATTCTCAGTAAGTTTATTGATTCATTAGTTATCTAGTCATTTTAAAGAATTCTTTTGTTTTAGCTGAAGCAATAAATCTATTTTTGAGAGAAAATGGGCACGAGGTGTTCAAAGTAATGAAACCTCAGTTAAGGAAAAAATTGTCTACGTTGTTTATGAGTATTGCCAATCAGTTGTTAACACATCTACCAATCGAAGTGTTTTATGTACCTTTATCTAAACAAAAGAAAGCGGCTTAAGGCTGTTAAACTATTTTTTGTTTAGAATTAGTTCTACTAGTTGCTTTAAACACTATAAAGCGAGTGACTAATTATGCTGGTTTTTTCTTGATGACTAAATGTTCGTCATCGTTAGTGAAGTTGGTCTACTTAAAAAGTAGCTTCTTGGTACAAGTGAACAATTAAATTCAGTGTTTTTATTTATTACGGTGCACCACAGGCTTGAGGTAGTTTTAGGTACCTATATTTTAAACACACTGTTAAATTTTAATTTTTGTTAAAAAATTATACTATTTGTGTTATTATTTATTTTATGATCCTGTTCTTCTTAAGTATCACATATGAAATTAACAATTTTTAATAGCAACAAATTCTAGTATATAGCACCCTTAAATGTTTGCAGCGAACATTTTAGGCTGCAGAAAGCCATGTAACTGTAGTAACTTGATTGGTAATCAATATGAGTAAGCTAATAGTTCTTGAGAAAGATTGACATACTTTCTGTCGATTTGAGTTGTTAGCTATGTTGTGAATCATGTCAGAAATCGTGTCATTGTTGTCAGCTTAAATATCGTCAAGAAACATTAGTATTATACTAGTAGATTAAACATTCAGAACTTGATAAATTTGTAGTACAAAATTTGAAAAAAAAAAAAAATAACTGAAGGGCGAATGTCACAACTACTCATTAATGGAAGATATACTGGTAAAAAACTTTCAGGTTCAAGAAACTCTGTTGATTTTCCCAACAAGACACAATTTCAATTGGTGGGTGTTCTGCAAGTCTCAACTCTTTTCCTGATGATAAAAATAAACCTTACCTGTTGTGCATTAATTTTGAAAGAACGAGTATTCCCTAGCGAGATGCATTTAAGTATTAAGGGTTTTAGTTATTTTCACTTCCTAACAATTTAATTCTACCTACTATTCAAACTCGGCATCCATTAGTTCGATGTACAAGTTTGAGCCGTCATTATCATAATTTTCTAATTCTGATTCCGAATCAAATTTCTCCAATGAAGTAACGAATGAAGGTATGTTCTCAAACGAGAAACCTTCCATGTGTTTTTTCCAATCAGCCGAAATAAGTTCTGTACACTCTTTATTACAATTCTGCCACACAGTACGTTTCAAAAGAAGCTGAAGTCATAAATTCTCTACCTTAGTTTTGGATGAAGGCCAAAAATATGTGCTTGTAGAATCTACAAAACCCCAATACAACAGGGTTGTATTGATAATGGTGTAAGGTTAATTCTGGAAAGTATAGTCTTTTAAAAATTGTTTCTTTTTCGATTAGTTATTCTAAAAGGTTGAATTAAATGGCACAGTCGTTTGAAAAATTTTTATCAAACTCAATACTATGATTACCCAATTCCTCTTGCATTTGACTTTTTCTGCTTGAAAATGTGGGTGGTTTGTCCAACCACACATTTTCTTTGCAACTTGTTCAAAGCAGGAATAAGCTAATTAACCATGCAATTTTGAAAAAGTATTCTCTCGTTTTGTGGTAATCTTTATCGTTATGTTTTGAATTTAATAAAAAGTTACATCTTTTTAGAAATTCCAAGTGACAACTCGCACGTAAAATTGTATAAATCTTGAATCTTCACTTGTAATTTTGCTGGAATTGCTTTTCAAATCTGAATCGTCTACCCAATAGCGAATGGAAGAACCGTTTTGGTAAACCCATGTTTCGTCGAGGTACATTTAGAACTTAATTTTTTTCTTAAGCAAACGACATGTTTTTGTTCACATATTAAAAAAAAAAAACGTCAGTTAGTCATGGTAGCCAGCAAAAAGAAAAAGAATGCACCAAAGGTTTTCGATAGGGTTTAGGTTTGACGATCTGACTGGCCACCTCATAAATTACACTTTTCCTTCTTACAACCATTCTACTGTGGAATTTTTGCATTTTCTTTTAAAACAGCGATTCTTCCTTCTCGGGGTTATTAAAACGTGCTAAAACATCAATATATTCTCCATTTTCATCCGGGAATATTACCTAAGGTGACAATATTTTGTTTATCGTAAATCCGATTTTTATCTTAACTGGTCGATATTGCAAAAATCTGAGTAGTGCTGTAGTTATGCACCAGAGTTTGTATGAAGTAATTGTCAAGATTTGTATCAGTACTAAGTCTTGATTGCTTTGTTCTGTGGAACAAAATTTGGTATGTAGAGTGAAATTACCATAAGCACGGTGGTATAAACCATTATCATCATAATCTCTGCCTTTTAGGCTTTGATCAGTGGTGGACATTTTAAAAAATCTAAACAATAAATTTCCAAAAACAGTATTTTATTAGAATAGATGCAAGTATGACGTTTGATTACAGGTAAACGCTGCTGACGGTGTTTGTATAGTATAATTTCGAAATTTTCAACTTTCACTTTTAGAAATAAAAAAGAAATATATATTTATTTTTACGGTTTCTAAAGTGTCTTCCATTGAAACAGTTAAAAAAATGATTGTCCTAAATTTATTTGATTTATGGTGGTTTTTACAGATATAAAAGGATGTTACGAATTATAATACATTTACAGAGAGATTTATCTAACAATATATATATCGTGATGACGTCATCAGTTCTTTGGCGGAGAGTAAGTGCACAATAAATTTTGGCAAGGGTTTCAAAGTAATTGGTTCAGGGGCTTTCACTTTAGTGGTTTACGAGTTACCAGGACATAGAAAATATTAAATTATCATATTTGTGATGACTCTTTTTTCTATCGTTCGGAGAGTAAAAGTAACAAAGGATTTTTTACGGACAGCGGTCGTTGTACTTGTAAGTTAGTTAGAAGTTTTGTCTCCTGCGTGTTTTAAACACTTATTATTAAAACACTTGTGTAGTAATTGTACTTATATAGATATATTATTTTAAAAAATCATGAATCCCAAAAATTGTAATAAAAAGTCATGTAACAATTCGATTTAAAAATATTTTAAATGTTTATCGTTATTTTTCTATCATATTTGAACATACATATCTGATCTTAAAGTTGTTTTAATGCAGTTTTTAGTATCAGTTATATTACAATTTTTTTTCTTAGAATGTGTTGTTAGCGTTTTTTAATTTTAATTCGCTTGCTTGTTAATGTCGTAATGAGTAATGACGTATATGTAAATTTTTGTTTCGTGTGTATAATACTGAATTATTCTAGTGATGCTAGTTAACATGTTTTTTCTCACGTCTTCACTTTCGTAAAAATAAAAATTAATTTATAAATTTATTAGGAGTATTATTTATCACTTTGTTACATATTCAAAAAGATATATGAATAAAGTAGCAGATTTTGAAAAAATAACTGTTCAAACATTAATATTTTACATGTGAATAATTTTATTTTTGTGTCAAGTAAAGTATTTAAGTGGTTAACTAGGCAAGTTTTTGAATGAAACATGTTTAAAAAGACAAATATGACTACTGAAAATACTGCTACGGTTAATTATGACAATTGTATATATATTAACTTTTATTTATATATTTATTTGTAAAGAATGTCTTCAACTGTTAATCAATTAAATAATTCTTGGTGATTCATTTCTTCACCACGATTTCTTCTGATATAAAAGTCCCCTCCATGGTTGAGTTCAAAGTCACGGTCGAACCTGTACGAGGTCAGTTGGTGGAAGAATATCTTCAGAAGTAGATGAACATCGATTACCAATTCAAGCATGAATAAAATCGTGGTTCCTATAGTTTGTCTACTTTACAGCCTACAAGGAATAGTTGCTCAAGATCGTGAGTATATTATATCATGTATTTGTGATTAATTTTTTTAGTTAAAATTTTTTTCTATAAATGTCGCAAGTTATTTTACATGCTGAAAAAAAAAAGAATTCAATTTTGGCAAAAGGAATGACGTAACTAGCGACTTAACCTCTTTAGGAAACTTACTAGTTTATGTTTACTGTTATTTCTACGTACTCTCTTGAAATTTGATTAAAGTGCTAATGACACTTTCGCGTTGACCGAGTTTTTCAACTACTGCCTAATTGTTCTTAATCGGTGTATTCTACGTACCATTTCTTTTCAGCATTTTATTTCCTGAAGCAATGTCATCGAGATGATCCAAATATAAACATATGTTTAAAGCAGTCTGCAAATTACCTCATTGCTAATATACGACGAGGAATTCCTGAGATCGGCCTAACGGAACCAGAACCAGTCATCATAGACGAAATAAGTATCGCTTTAGGAAGTGGGCCCGATGGATATAGGGCATCGTTCAGGAACATTCATGGTTATGGGGTCAGTAACATTAGTGTAACAGCCGTTAGGTAGGTATGTGTTACAGTAGTTTTTACTTTTTACGTTTTTTTCGTCAAGTTACAGGTTTTAGTGATAGTGATGAAACGTGATAATCATCTAAATTTAAATCGGTGAATTTCTCTTGCTACATAATTAGACGGAAAATTAAGCCATCTAATTAGGTATATGATTGCACACTTTCGTTTCTAACAATAATTCAAATAACTAGTGATTATTGGCGAAAGAAATTGTCTTACATATTAAATGGAATCATTAGGTACGACTTTCATCCACATTCATTAAGTATTTTGTTTTTTGATTTGTTTATGAAAAACGTGAGAAATCATGGTAATAACATTTCATTTACATTTATACAACATCGTGCATTTTAAAATTTTTATATAATTTTTTGTCACTTGGTGTAAATTTGGTGAAAATTTAACTTTTTTCCACTTCACGAGTTTGTAGAATACAAAAGTGCAAATTTTCCCTTAGCGTTTGTCTACTTTTAGTTTACTGTATTGGAAAATTTGAGCTAATATATAGGGGAACGAGGGGCTTGTTGTAACAGTTTTTAGGAAAACGAATATAATTTGGTATCTATTAGCTGTTTGACCATTATAAAAGTATCTATCGGTAGTCTAACTATTCCCCTATTGGACTGAACAGGCAAAAGGTCAAAATTGTTCATCTTCACTTCACACCAGGCATTTTCTTAAAAAAAAGTGCATTGTTACAACTTGCCCCGTGGTTGGGGCTAGTTGTAACAGCCATGAGACAGGTAGTACCAGTAAAAATAAAGCTGATGTTGATACATATTTAGACTTTATTTTTCATATATCAACACAACACTTCATTATATACAATTTTTTTTCAGTAAAACTGAAAGAAACTTTTAGAAAAAGAGCCAACATTAAAAATTTGAGTGTTGTCTTCCTTTTTCTTAATATCTCTGGAAGGCGATATATGGCATAGGTCAAAATTTTGGCTCGCTTTTCGTATGCTAGGTACGAGATTTGTAGAAGTGAATTTGGGATAAGTTGTAACATGTTACAACTTGCCCCAAAGCTGTTGTTACAACATGCCCCGTAGCACAATTTTCTACATTTAATTACATTTCGACAAAATTATGTGGCTTAGCGTCAAAATGTGTAAGGAATATCAAAGCTCAATAATTTTTGAGCTACATGCAAAACTTAAAAGTTTTAAATTAATTAATAACTGATACGAAAAACCAAATTTTACTAAAGCAATATTTTACATTACTTGGCCAAAACGAAACACGTGCACACATCCACTCACTGCGCTGGCTCAAGGAACAGTGGTTGTGATGACATGATGTCTTATGGTGCAAGAATTAAATTCAGTAAAATACCTGACGTTAAAGAGTTTAAATTGTGGGTAAAAATTTAGTGTTACAACTTACCCCTGTTACAACAAACCCCTAGTTCCCCTACTGCAATACGAAATTTCGAGTCTACTGATTATCATGAAGATGATACATACAACTTTGTGGATTTATTTATTAATTTTTAAACAATTATTTGTCTACTTGAAATATTAGAAATTCAGTCAACAATGTAAAAGTCAAAATAATGATGAATATGCGAAAAAAAAAAACATTTGTGCAGTGTTCACATGACTACAAATAAATTGTTTTACTTCAATATTGATACTACAGGGCACTGTCTTTATGCTATTATCAGTTAATTTATTGATGGACGTTTAATTTTTTTACAATCGAAGTCTATATTTTGTGAAGAAAAATACTCAGCTTCTGCTTTTATTGTTAAAATGTTATTACATTTGTTTTTCGACTAACAAAAGTAACAACTATTTAAGCTTAACTTGTTTTGACCTGTTATCAGTATTATAATTACAGAGTGTTGTAGTCTATTTCGGAGCATGATTTCGTTTCCTGTGTCATAAAAAGGAATAAAAAAAGTCGTTGGTGCATTGACAAAACAATAATCGTCAAAAAAAAATCTCATTCAAAAGTAAGCATGATTTTTATTTTTTATTAAAGTGGATATTCTGTGATCAGTGTTATAAGTTATAAGGCATGTGGTGTCTAAATTATTTTCATAAATGTATATATTATTTTAATCAGTTTTGAGTTTTCTAATAATAATTAAACACCTGAAAAATAATAGACAAAAATATATTTTCGAATGTGATGTTACCATTTAGGCTCTACTAACAAAATAAAGGTCAAGAGTATTTTGCGCAGAAGCTAATTTTCAGCGAGTATGCACCAGGTTTTGTGTGATTTCAGCACTTTTATTATAGCTGTTGCAACATGAACATACAATTTAAAAAATTGGGCTGTCTATCAGTCAAAAACAAGCATAAAATATCATTTTAGAAACTATATAACTCCAAACTACACTTTGGAATAGCTAAAGAACAGAATGTGTTTGTAATTCTCTACAAATTTTTATACTTCGCTAATGTCTAATATATACACATGTTATTTTTTTGAAGTCAAACGTTTAAGCATATAAAATATTCAATCAAATGTATTTATTTTGTGTTTATCGCCATAACAGTCTTCCTACTGCTCATCATATCACTGAGTAGTTTTTACTTTTCTAGCGTAAGCTAAGGAAGTGTTGTAGTAGAACCCGTCAGGCAAATTGCTAGTTTAATAATTTCTCGACGTTTTATGACCCACAAAGATAGGTCTCCCATTTTCGTCTGTCGTCTGCCGTCTGCATCGATTTTTACTGATCGAATCAAAAACAACTCACTCCATTTTCTCGAAAATTTGGGAATATAGTACCATTATTATTAAAATTACACTGTGCCTATCTGAATAATTGAGGTCGTGCTGAAATCACATCATCATAAAATTTTATACCTGTTGGAAAAATTCACCTGAAACATATGCATAGCATGCTTCCGTACCTTTACTGTAATACTATACACACACATCTCTATTTTAAAGTGTAGAGATTATCATAAAAAAGTAAAATTCCAAAACCGAATTTTACAATCTTTTGAAAAAGCTGTAAATGCTGTATTGTACTTCAGGAGTGAGGAAAGTTCTGATATTAATACTACCGTGTACATAAGCAACAAATTATTAAATTACCATCATTATTCTATTTCTTTTGAAAAGTTCTGTCTAAATAACATAAGACCAGTTTTTTTTTTCGTAGTTGGTAGTCAAGAAATTTGTTTGACTACCAACTATGAACAAAAAAATTGGTTGAAAGTTATTTCGACACAACCTCCCTCGCTTCTCAAGTACAGTGGCAACAAATACTGCTTCCCGAGAAGGTTTTGCCTTCTAAAAAGTTGAGATCCGAGAAAGTTTTACTTTTTGAAAGAAGACAGTTGGAACTCCCGAGAAGGGTTCACATTCTAAAAAAAAAAACCATTTGGGGCCTCCGAGAAGGTTTTAAATTTTTAAAAAAGACAATTGGGATTCCCGAGAAGGTTTCACATAGAAAAAAGACAGTCGGGACCGCCGAGAAGGTTACACGTTCTTAAAAAAGACATTTGGCGGCCTTAAAAAGGTTTTACATTTTCAAAAAAGACAGTTGGAACCAGGGCCGGCTCTAAGGGACCAGGCGCAACTTATTGTTCAACGCCCTTTAAAAACGGTTTGTAAAAAAAAACAAACAAAATTTTATAATCACATATGTTTGTAGAGAGATACTTTTAATTAACAAACATACGTAAAATTATGATGAATCAATCTTAATATATAAAAGTGTTTGTCCTGACTAACCTATTCATCAACGCAAAGCCTGAACTACTGAAACTACAAACATGAAATTTGGACAGTAGGTTTCTTTTGTGTCATAAGCACCCATTGAGAAAGAATTTTTGGAAATTCCGCCCCAATGGGACAAGATTCTTATTAGATTAGAGATTAGTATTAGAAATCTTTACATTACAAACATTTTTCAATTTTTAATATTGTAAAATTGATACGATTTCAAAGTTATTTTTAATTTAGACTTTCCTCAATGTTAATCGAAATTTAAATTTAAAATTAGTGATGACAAACAGCCACGGAATGAAACACAAAACCAAATTCGACTACTAATCGGAACAGTGAAAAATATAACAAAACTGTTTGAACAACCACCACAACCAGCCGACTAAACTTGGAAAATAAAATTTTTAAGTTTCTGCCGACAAGGAGTTTTATGGTAAAAACAAACGTCACAAATGTTAGAAAAACATCTGGTTTTGGTCATACCGCTGTCTTGTCAAATTGTTACCCAGATAATGCAATCATAAATCTGGTATTTTTTGTCGGTATTGATCTAAAGGTCCAATCACCCAACCCAAAGGCGCACTCTTTTTCAATTACTTATTATAGTCAGAAAGTGCCAGGAATTGACTTTTTATGACCTATTTTGGTGAACCACTTCCCATAGCGGAATGTTAAAATGTAGCTTTTTCTGAAAAGTTTTCGATGGGCGCCTTGGTCCGTTCCTGCTATTATATTTTGTACGTAGTGATTCAATACAAATCTAATATTAATTTATTTCTATGGAGTTAACACAAAAGCATAGGCGCCGCCCGCCGCTCGGCGCCCCTTGTCATGGGCGCCCCGATGCGGTGCATCTTTCGCTTACCGTGTTAAGCCGGCCCTGGTTGGAACCCTCGAGAAGGTTTCACATAAAAAAAGATAATTGGGACCCCCGAGAAGGTTTCACATTCTAAAAAAACCATTTGGTGTCCCCGATAAGGTTTCACATTCTTAAAAACATAGTTTTGGGGCCTCCGAAAAGGTTTTACATTTTTAAAAAAGACAGTTGGGAGCCCCGAGAAGGTTTTACATTCTTAAAACAGACATTTAGCGCCTCCAAAAATGTTTTGCATTTTTAAAAAACACAGTTGGAACCCTCGAGAAGGTTTCACATAAAAAAAGATAATTGGGATCTCCGAAAAGGTTTCACATTAAAAAAAAAAACATTTGGTACCCCCGAGAAGGTTTACATTTTTAAAAAACCATCTTAAAAAAGACGAGCGTATTCTCACTTTTTCGAGAAAATGGAGTAACTTCATCAATAAAAAATTTATTATGACGTCATAAATATAGATAATAGACAATGCGAGAAAAAAAGAGAAAAAAAGAAAGAAAACGAAAGGCCAAGTTTGGAATTGAACGCGCGACGTCCGGTCCGCATTCTTGACTCGTAACCACTAAACCAGGTTCGGGATGCGTTACACTTGTGGTAAACTGTTATTATACCATGCATTATGTTTTTGCAAAATTTGGGTGGTTAGGGAAAAACTCAAAGCGGATTCGCACACCACACTTATGACTATATTGTTGTATAACAGTTAAATCAAATGAACATAGAATTCTTTTAAATAACTTCATCAAATTGTTGATGGGGATGATTAGCAAAATTTTGGTTAGCATTTAACCATCTACATGTCGGTCCAGCAGTTTCGGAGATTACGTGTCTAATAAATAAAAATGGATACAGACACCAGACAGACAGACAGACGGAAACGGGAGACTACTTTTTTCGTACTCTAGGAGCCATGAAACGTAGAGAAAATATAACTTTGGCCATTCGTCCGATGGATTCGATTACTTCTTTAGCTTACATTCGGGAAGTAAAAAACTGGTCTTGTGTTATTAGACCGAACTTTTCCCGCCCCTGAAATACAATGAAATAAATGGAGTTGTTTAGAAGAAAGACTAAAGACAATACTAACCGAAATGTAAGAAAAGACAACTCACGGTCTAATCAAATCAACTAATTTATAATCGTTTCTATGTATAAACAGTTGCGGCTCTTATGTTCGTATAAAACGCTAGTATTTTAAACTTTATTCGTGACAGTTTTGTTTTTAAATTGTCGCTATTATTTTATGATATTTTTTTTCCATTATGACTAAATAATTCACACACTAAATATGGAGGGAAAAAAATATCTTCCAACGGTTTTTAAAAATTTACAAAATGTATTATATACATATAACATAAAAATAGAGTTATTTAGTTTTAATAGCGGAGAAAAATCTGGTTGCCCATGGTAAAACTACAAGTACTGACTTTGATATATCGCTTACTATGAAAAAAATTGAGTCGACGTCATTAATTTGTTGGTGGGATGACTAGACAAATTTTGGTTAGCATAGCTAAGGTAGATACTCGTATATATAAAATTTGACGACAATCGATCCCTTGTTTAGGAGATTATCTGTCTAGTGAAAATAAACACAGGCAGACAGACGACAAACAGGCAACAGACAGACAGAAACAGAAGATCTATTTTTTCATACTCAGGAGATAATAAAGAAAACATGAAATTAGCCATTCGCCGGATGGATATTATTATGATTCCAATACTAATTTAGACACGTTCTTTGTAAATATACCCATATATTTCGATTTTGTTCTGATATAAAAACTATTTTTCTTGGCATTTCGAAACAGATTGCGTTACTTCTCAGCTTGTAATTTTATGTTGCAGTACTGTTTTTTCTAAACGTAGGTACGTAATTGGCTTTATGAACACGATAGTTCAAAAGGTTAAAAGAGAGAGAATAAAAATGATTTATTTTATGTAGGTGTAAAACACTTCCAACACTACGGTAATGTGCAGAGCTAATAACACCCAACTCTTATTACAAAGTTTCGTAAAAGAGGTACAATTTGTTGAGGTGCTCATGTTAAATTGATGTATTGAGTCTTATGTAATGCAGTTAGACAGTCAATATAAGACGTATAGAAAGAGGTCTGATTTACATAGGCTGAAATAATAGAACATAAAAATTTTATTACATCTCGTTTTTGCAACCGACTTGGCCTTGTTTAGTTTTTACGAAAAATGAAAATGTGTGTAATTTGAAATATAATTAAAAGAAGAAAAGAAGCCCACTGTTTAGGAAAGATTGGGTTACAGTTCTTTAGCTTTAGAGAAAGTGGGCCAGCTACTTAAATACTTAAGTCAATACTAAATAATTAGACTATTAGTGTGTTTTTAATAACATAATAACTACTACATCATGATTTTTAGTACAAAGAGGATGATGCTTGTTTAATTAAATATTTTGAAAAAAGTCAATTGATTTTTCTTTCTTTTCTGTTTGATTTCAGTTCGGTTAAACCTGTCGTGAATGATATATTTCTTGTTCTAGATCTGATGTCAACAGTCACCAGTTTCAATTCACGATGTATATTCCCAAAGTATCGGTGAGGGCCAACTACGAGTCCAGTGGGATTTTGATATTGGTGCAAGCATCTGGTGGTGGCCAATACTGGGGCGAATATGGTTAAAAATGAGCTACAGATTGATTTCATTTTTTATTTTTTATTTTTTATATTTTAGAGGGTATAAAGTGTAAAGTTTATATAAGAGCTAGTCCTCACAGGATAGGACAACGTACTTTCTTATCCCTTCAACAAATTAAAATGGATTTCAGTGTAAAGAACATTAGAATGGGAGTAGAAAATGTCCATAACGGAAATAGCGTCATACGTATGTATTTTGGTGTAAAAATATCTTGGATTGAACACATTGTGTTACAGAGGCCGCCTTAAACTTGTTCATAAATACCAACGCGCAAGAACTGCTGAAAGAAATGAAACCTGACATCAAGAAAAAATTGCTCTTGATCATGAGTAATTTCGTCGAGAATGTGTTTGCCAATGTTCCATATGATGCTTGGATATTGTAGTATTAAGGAAATGTAGTCGATTTTTTAATTTAAGAAATGACTTTGTAATTTATTAATTTTTATAGTTATTTAATTTTTAAATAAATTAATTATTTTAGTTCAAAATAATAGGAGTACAATTTAATATGTCGTGGATGTACTTTGGTGTATCTAATTATCGTGTTGAACAATTTTGACATTTTATAATTGCCCGGCCATTGTGTTGTTACTAAACTGTATGTTGCATAATCGTTTAAAAGGAAGTACGTGACAGTTGACTATTTTGTAGTAATTAACTTGATTGGCAGATAAATTGTACGTACAATAATTAGAGATTTTGGACTTGAATAATATTCCGAAAACTTAAACAATCCAATTGCTGCAAAATTAACGTTTCTGAATTTCCGTTTATAATAAAAAAGGAAACGCTTTGCTAATATCTTCTTCAAATTCATTAATTACAACCTTTAGAACACTGTGTTGCTTTAAGAACTGCTTTTTAATGCAATGACATTCTAGCCTTGTCGATTCAGGAAATGCATTATACACGTGACCAATAATTTAATCCTAGACTATAAAATAAAAAATTTAAAGGAAACTGATACTTTTGTCTAATTCGCACTTTATCATTTACCATGAGTATCTTGCAAATATCCTTTATTATTGTATTGGATATGGCTGGAATTTTGGCAAATGCCGATCTTCGTAAGTGTAAACAAGAATTTGCCTTCTTAGATATTAATGACTAACTTGTCGTTATTGCTTTTGGTTTTCTTACGTTTATGACTTTAAAATGTCTTTTAGCATCATTTATACATGTTTGTCACAAATCGGATCCTGACTTGGAGCAATGTTTAATGAAATCAGTAGAAGAAATAAGACCCCATTTAGTTAAAGGTACAATCAGTTATTAATTTTGTTAAAGTTAAGTGTATAATTTCCAATGGTTGTGACAGGAGCGCCGGAGTACAATATTCCAAGTTTGGAACCTCTCATAATGCAAGAGTTAATATCCGAAGAAGCAGTTGGAATGAAAATTTTAACTACCAATGTCAGCGCTTATGGCTGCTCGGATTTCATTGTCAAGGGAATTAAGTAAGTAATCTATACGATTAAAACTGTGTCATTTTTATGTACAACAATGCATTTATCCACAGCGTGGATTTGGACAAACAAGTATATGAGTTACATATTGACATTCCAAAATTACGAATTGAAGCAGACTACACTGTTGATGGAAAACTCTTACTTCTCCCAGTACGAGGAAACGGAAATCTAGAAGCTAATGTCAGTAAGTGTAATTGACTGCAAAGTATAAACTATTTAAAACATGTGTTCCTGTGTTGTAGCTGATTGTGTTTCTACTTGCATTCTGCAGGGAGAGCTATATGAAAAGGATGGAGAAACATATTCTCGATTTATTACAATCGATTTGAAAACTAAAGTCGGTGGTGGACACGTTCGTCTTGAAAATTTATTTAATGGCGACAAAGTGATATGTAAGTTTTAACTGCATATTAAGATTGATTGTTTATTATAAAATTGCAGTAGGACTTATGAACGACGTTATAAATAAAAATCTGGACGCTTTTCTTCAAGAATTAATGCCTGTCATTGATAAAGCGTTAGGTCACACATTTTTGCAAATAGCTAATGATATTGTTAGCAGGTGGACTTTAAATCAATTGTTTCCTCAATGAAGTGACGTAAAATAAAAATACTGATGGTAAATAAACTGAGCAAATTTACCTTGTGTTTAATTTTGTGTGTTCATTTTTGTGTAATCTTTGCTTATAGGGTAATTAAGTATCACTTTTATAAAATTTGGGACGGGTAAATTAGATGTCGACGTGGCAAGTATTTAGGATATTTATTAATTTTATTATATTCGCTTACATGTTTCGATACTATCAAGTACCATCATCAGAGCAGTGAATAAAAGAAGTTAAATTAGTATTAACATAGTGAAAAACGGGTGGAAGCTACTCATGGCAGTTTTCCCCGAGGTGATAACAGAACTGTTCTATCATCATCCGCTGGTGTGGCAGTAGCCCATCCTGTCAACCTAATTTTGCAGTATATTTTGGATAGGGCCTTGTTAGTGGCTCTGGTGAGGAAACCGTTTCGCCCCTTCCCACCCGTAAGGGTGGGAGCCAAAGCCTTCTTCCCTTTGAAACACAGAATAGCTAAGATCATTCTTCACTTATTCATTCACTTTTCTTCATTCATCATTCACTTACTATTTGTTCGCTGTTCTTATTCATACTCGCAACAATTCAACAGGCCTTCTTTCACGAATAACTCGAACAGTATTTTGAGTAAGTGCCTGAATCGTTTCGGGATTCTCAGTACAAGTTTGCATCTCAGGAATTTTTACCTTGTAAAGTTTTCAAGTGATAGGTTGGCGCGTTTAGTGGTTTTGGTTGAGAAGTGTCAACCCGGTGCTTAGAAAATAAGAACAAAGATGTTGATTTAGAGGTGAGTTTATATTAATCATTTCAAAACAGTTATTGACATAGTAATAATAATAACAACAATTTTTAGGAACAATTACTTGCTAGTCATCCATGTTATTGTTGTTAGTGTTAACATATTTATTTATTATAGAGTGTGTTTAATAAAGATAAATGTATAATTGTATAATTTTAACGAATTTATACCCGACTGTATTTTCCATCCAATAAAATTGAAATTCTTTGAGTTTGCTAATAAATGTAATTACTATTACTTATTATGTACTTATTTAGATTTTATCGCCCATTATTATATGAATAGTTTTTAAGTTAAGTGCATCGATGTGATAAATTGTTAAGAACAATAAAATCACTCCATTTGCCTAAAAGGTTTTTTCATTGTAAAAAAAATACATAACAGATACATTTGTAATCATATCAAATGTTGTTCACAACTGCAATCTGAGCTTTAAACAACAAAAGACAAACACAATTATTGTTTTTACTACCAAAATTCTGGGATTCAAAATGGGGATGCATTTGCTCGTATAATACGAAAGTGCTGCCATAAAGTACTTTAGTCAGCATAGTATCGACCTTTAACGACACCCCACAAAAAATTCCAACAGCATTAAATCGCAGCCCCACGGACACCAAGCAACATTCCCAAAACTAGTGATTACACGATTATTGAACTTGGTAAGCAAAAGATCCATTGTTAGACGGCTTGTGTGGCACGTAGCACCATCCCGCTGAAACCAGAGCTTGCCTAACTCCAATTTCAACTTATCTAAGTCCAGCTTTCTTCAAAATTCAGCAGAAATTCGGGCAGCGATTCAAGTTAGAAAATATTCGTAGTTCAGATTCGCAGCACGACCGAAGGCACCTCGAGACTTGACTAAATTTAGTTTCTTATGATTCCGGTTTTATAAGACTTTTGGCTCATTTATTAGGTCTCCCGCATTCGGGTGTAATAAAAAGATATGACATACAGCTCCCCGGGGATGCGCCATGGACTGTATTTGGCGATTTCATAATTATTATGCCGGTGCCACGCACTTTTCGGCAACACAGCATTTACTTTTAGAAATACATTTTAACATTTTCACATGTTGTTCAAGTGTAAATCAATTCAATTCGTACCGTGGAGACGTGTACCTACGAGGGTGTTTTTTTAAATTAACTACCTAGCTGTGATACAGACGTCACACAGACAAATTGCTTGGTTGTCAAATAACTGCTAGTGGATAAGTACTTGGACGTAATTCTGTAGGGCTCAGTGAGTTTTGACAGCATTTTTGTTTCGAAAAATGAATGAACTTAACATAGAGAATCGCGTGATTATAAAGTTCCTCACTAAAGAGGGATGAGACGGTACGAAAGTTATCCATGGTAGAATGACCCAGGTGTACGGTACTAACGGCCCATCTTATTTTTAAGTAAAATATGGGCCGAAACAATTTCGATGGGGTCGAGATTTGATTCAGAACGACCCAAGATCAGGAAGACTGGTTGAGGCAAGAACTGAGGAAACCATAGGACTTGTTGATGATTGATGAATGAAAATCCCAGTGCTTGCAAAAGAGGATTTGGGGATGAAAAAAGTGTTTGCTCGATGAATTCCCAGACTCCTTATACTAGAGCAGACACTGGTGCGGAAAGAAATTGGTCAGGAGCATTTGGACGCTTTGGTGAACGATGACTTATTTTTCGCGTATTGTCTGTCACAGATGACGAAACCTGGGTGTTTCACTGAGATCCTCCTATAAAACAGAAATCAATACAGTGGGTCTATAAGGGCTCTACACTACACCCCCAAAAAAGTCGAAAACCCAGTCTTGGTCTGGAAAATTGATGGCGACCATTTTTTGGGACTGTGAGGGCATTTTGCTTATTGAATACACGGCAAAAGGGACCATGATTAATGTTGACGTTTATGGAACCACGACTGAATACTTGAAGAAGGCCCTTAAAGCAAAACTACCGAACTCATGATGAACAAAAACTGCGCTGTTGCACGACGCTGGACCACTTGAATGGTACCTAACATGGTTTAGGGTCTGCTGATAATTGGGTAAATGTGGGATTCTACGACCCAGCATATTCTACACATAGGTATTCTAATGAAGATAAACCAGTGACGCATTGAGGCCAGAGAAGGACAACTAGTTTTTCTAGACATGCTAAGGACACTTGGGCTATATCTAGGCGAATGTTATCTTGCTGGAATTAGACATTTTCTTTCTGCTGTATGTGTGAAAAGTCTGGTTCTAGCACCTTCTGAACGTAATGCTTTCTCGCCATAGACTCTTCGATAACAATTTATTAATGGTGACAGAACACCTAGCTCCCCACATTATTATGCCCTAGTTCGAGCGACACAGAAAAAACAAAACTACACCTTTCCCTACGGAGCCTTCTGACCCTGTTTATTGTTCCAACCAAACGGGGATTTATTCGAAAAAATGACATTCGTTGCCATGAATGTTTTTCCGTTACTAGAAAGACTAAACTGGGACGTACCATTACACCCCAAAAAATTTGATCTGGAGATATACATACAGTAGTCAAAAGTACCGGTTTTGAGTTTCCTGAATGCTCTAGGTGTGCCGCTACTAAGACTCCGGGTAACTCGTCTGTCTTTCAATATTACATTAGGACAAGTCGGCTTCTCAGAGTGTAATAATTATCTACTTTTCTCTGAAATGGGTTCAGTTTGTGAAACTGTGCTTGTTTTTTACTGAGGGTATAAATGCACAATATTATCATAAGTTGTTACCCTAACAGTACGCACAAAATGTTTGCCCAAATTGTTTCATATGGTGTAAAACTTTTCGTGGGTTTACACGATTCTTTTTTCAAATAGTATATTTTCAGAACGCTTGTACTACTAGTATTAAATTAAACTCGAATCCACTAGCTCAGGTTGTTTTAATGTAATCACTAATCAATGATATGACATCAACGACGTAAAGGTCGAACAAATAAGTTTTAATTAGTAATTTCCCATGCTCACGGTAATCTCAAAAGGCATGGAAAATTTGTAGATTACCGGTTATTATGTAGTTTCGAAGATAAATCCTAAAACTTACAGACGTAAAATTAAAATATGCGTGGATTAATAGATGACAGGTGTAGACGCATACTGCGGACAAATGGGATTTACGTCACAACATTTTGTCATGACGTTACCAAATTTTTGGTGGGCACAATTAGACAGCTGTTAAAGATACACGAATTGTTGATTATTATTATTCATGCAGGACAAAACATCTTTATCGTTGTAGCACGTCATTTACATGGTGAAAACTAGCAAAAAATCTTTATCACAAACAACCTAGTTTAACCTGTTTAACATAAGTATTATAGACATATTTGTGGCATTGAGAACTGTAAATAAAGTCAAATCATCGAAAATACCCGATGTTGGCGATGAAGTTGTTAAAGATAAGGGAGGAAATTTTTGGTTGTACGGCTACGTAGTTGTAAAAATAAGTCTTCGTTAAATCACAGAATTTTCCTACACCAAAACTTGTTTTGTGGTAGTAATAAACAGGTCAAGTTTGGGGAAAATTTCCTGCCGATGAAACTTTTCGAAGAAACATGAATTATTCATATATAATGATTTTACGATTAAGTAACAATCGATTGGCAGTATTAAATTTTCGTTATGCATATCTACACAACATGTAGTTGGTTGTCTCCATTGTAGCCTTATTGAGTCAACTGATTTTAGTTTTAATTAGGCAGTAACAGATTATAATAATCACTTTCCAAGTGATGCGCGGATAAATGATCGGTAGTTACGCTAGACTTTTGGGGATGGGGTGAGATTAGAGAATAATAGCAGACTAATTTGTATGCTGTAATTCTAGAATCTCGAAAATTGTTTTGTTAATCTAATCAATGCATATCATTACTTGGTCTTAGTACCCGTAATGATAGAAGTCTTGCCTGAATGCCGGTCATTTCCGGGTCAGTGCTGGGTCTTAATAATAATAATATTAATAATAATAATAATATGTATTTAATGTCGAAAAAGATACAAGATCCATAAGACGACATATCGAAAATAGATCTAAACATGTGCAAACTAATTACATAAAAGAAATACATAAGAACAAAAAATTATTAATCCATACAACTTAAAGATTTTTCAGGTAGCTGTTTAAAGAAGATAAAGTTACATTAAAAAAATCCAGATTATTTGAAATTTTGTTTATAGATCTAACTATATTATTCATAGGTGCATGAAACGTAAAATTAGTACGATGAAATCTAGGTAGGTATAAAAGTTTCAGAGCAACGAGAACCTAATCTAGGTACTCTAATATCAAACAACATAACTAGGCGGGGCAGTCAATGCAATTCTGGAACAACTTATAACCCAAACGAATTTCAGCTTTTTGTTTTCTACTCTCTAGTAGTTCCAGGTTTACAAGTACAAGCCTTTGGTCATAGCTATAGTTATCCTTATTTATTCCCATTTTAAAAAGTAGATAATTGACAAACTTACGTTGTACTCTTTCAAGACGATCAACGTGGGTTTTATAAAGTGGGAACCAAATAACAAAACAATATTCAAGAATCGGTCTACCTAAAGTTACAAACAATTTGTGTAGACAACTAATATCCCAAAAATCAATAGACTGACGTTTGATAAAGCCACAAGTTCGAAATGACTTATTCAGAACAAAATCAAAATGACTAGCAAAGCGTAGCTCTGAATCTAAGATTACACCCAAGTCGTTGATTTCAGAAACGCGTTCGAGAGTAACATTATTCAAAGTATATGGAAACACAATACAGTTAGATCTACGGGTAAATGTTATAACCTTACATTTATTAGTGTTTACTCCCATAGAGTTGTTAGCGCACCAAGAACTAATGATTTCAAGTTTATTTTGAAGTAAATGACAGTCGTTAATACCAGAAATTCTACCAAAATTTTTTAAGTCATCTGCAAACAATAAGTAATCATCGAGTAGACAAGCCAAATCGTTAACAAATAAGGAAAACAAAACAGGTCCAAGTTGGCTGCCCTGTGGAACACCTGACGTCACAATAATTGGGTCAGAATAATGGTTCCCTAACTAAACTATTTGAGACTTCTGTTTTAAGTAAGATTCGATCCACTGGTAGAAGATTACCGGCCAGGCCGTATTGTTTTAATGTATAGAGCAGAATATCGTGGTCAACTCGATCAAAAGCCTTGCTAAAATCAGTGTATATTGTATCGACTTGGTAACTCTCCTCTAATGCTGTGTAAGTAAACTTAGTAAAAGAACTTAGATTAGTTACAGTACTACGTCCAGGATAGAAACCGTGTTGCTGAGATGAAATAATTGTTTTAAATGAAACGAAAATGTTCTCAGTTATTATAGTTTCAAGTAGCTTACATAGGGCTGGTATAACACAAATTGGGCGGTAATTAGTTACGTCCGATCTAGAACCTTTTTTATGTAAAGGGATGACGTACGATAGCTTCCAGATTTCAGGACAAAGATCAGATTTTAAGCACTTGGAGTAAACTATACTTAGTGGCCATAATAGACTATAGCTGCATTGCTTTAAGATATGAGCAGGAATCCCATCTGGTCCTGGGTTGAAGCTGTGCTTTAAGCGTGTCAGTTTAGTAGCAACAATTTCAGAAGTAATTTCAATATTACACATTGGTCCAAAATTATTACTAAACTGTTGTGAATCAAAGTTGACGGGAGAAAACGGTGCATTACTTGTGTTATAGACGGAGCTAAAAAACTGCGCAAACATATTACATATAGAAGTCAAATCATTGGAAGAGTTTTCATTATAATACATAGAAGATGTCGGAATACCAGAATTACAATTTTTCGAGTTAATAAATTTAAAAAAGGATTTAGAGTTGAAATTGATATTGGACTGAATGTGAGACAGATGATTCTTATTGTCTTGTTGCATAGAATATTTCGTTTGTGCGCGGAGATTTTTATATTTAACATAACATTGCAAATTATCCGATCTCTTGAGTTTATTGTAAACTGCACGTTTTTGTTTTATTAGTTTCTTTGTTTTAAACGAATACCAATAGGGATAGTTATTATGAGCCCTAATACGTTTGGGAATATACAAATCGAAAGTGCAGAATAAGATGTTATAGAATGTGGTCAAGAAATCATCATTATCCAGAATCATTATGCCAATTTAAGCTAGATAGATAATCATTTATTAAGTGGTAAGGAGCATTTCGGAAGTCGTAATACCAAGTATGATCATTTCTTGTATCGAGAAAATTCGGCGCATCTTCAGTGTAGATTATAATAAGCCTTTAAATTAAGGGCATACTACAATATGCCATTTAGATATTTACTGTATGAATAAGATTGTTAAAATGTTAATGTAAAAACGCCATATGTAGTGGTCTATTTAATGTTAAAGCCAATATTTTACTTATTTTCTCTTATAAATAAAAATGAATGTTTATTTGTTTGTACCGTATGCATTCGTAATCGATTCATCCGATTGCGATGAAACTTTAGTGAGTTGTGGTTCAGACGCCCACCAGCGTTTTTAAATTAGTACAATAATTGAAAACGATTGGTTCGTGTGTTTTCGGCGTATGAGTGCGCATGCTCGGTAGAATTGAATTAAATTCGATCAAACAGTTCCATTTCGACTGCCAGTTGACATTAGATAATTATATTATAAATAATACGATATCATATGCATTATCTTTGTTAAGTAGCATTGTAATACATGTCGGGTAACAGCTAATAACAATTACGGGATTTCCCGAAAAATTAAAAAAAAAAGTTTATTCTAAACTTAATGTGTTAGCGGTGTAATATGTTTGTGTTTCTTTACAAAAAGTACAAATTACTATTACATTATTTTTATAAGATCACAGCACGTTTTGTACATTTAAATTTTTATTTATCTGGAAAAACTTCGTCATAGTCTAAGCCATCAGTAATCTTGTTAGCAGCTTCCAACAGAATCTCCGCAGCTTTCCTCTGGATGAAGGGGAGGGCGGCTTGAATCATTTCACCCTTATTTTCATGTATGACATCAGTTATAGCTTTACCTGTAAAAAAAAGCAGAGGTCGAGTAAAATCACTTCACTAATTTTCATGCTAATATCTACATACAATACAAATATTTCCATATCATTATAAAAGTAATAAGGTATAAGTCATATTTATTGATTTTTAGAATTAAAAAACTGTAATCGAATGAGAAGAGATATTACTTTAAGCGTTAATTACTTTTATCCTTGAAAATGTATAAAAACAAAAGTGTATCTTAGAAGATAATATTTTTACGGTTACTTACTCAGAACTTCATCTCCATTAAAGAGGTTTTCAAGGTGAAGATTATAATCACCAATCTTAATTGCAAAGTCAAAGGAACTAAACTTAATCTCACGGTGTCCGTTGTGCTGAATAATTTCGCCCTTCAAAACTGCCTGACCATCTACATCCGCTGCAAAAAATGTACAGTTTAGAAAAAACTAGACGGCATTTCCATCTGTATTACTTACTAATATCAGCAGTAAATTTGCCTGTGCCTTTAATAGGAGTCACAAGAATTCTTGCGTCAACGTCGTAATCTCCATCGAAGACCATCTTCGGGAATTTTACACCCACACGATACGTGTTTTTGTCAATATTTAACCTAAAAAATATAAACCAGGAATACTTTTGAGATCAACAAAATATGAGAAACGTACTTAATTTTTGTTATCTGAAAATTGCTGGCTCCGTGGACTTTTACATTTCTCAAGAAAGCTTTGAGATTTGATGGCACATCTCCTCCGAAAATTGTTATTTCGTCAATGTGCAGTGGTTCCAGTGATGGTACTTGGAGTTCTGGGATACCATTTTTCAGTTGTGGTAGCAAATATTCCACGGATTCTCTTATACATCTTGCTACTCGTGGATCTGACCTTTTGCAGATGTGAATGTAACTGGCTAAAAAAACAAAAACATTTATACTTAATTGAAATTGGTATCACGATGTTTTCTTTAATTTCCGATTGTCAGTTGTCAAGACATTTTTAATTTTGCAAAATGTATATAAAACATACCCTAGACATAAGAAAATTTCACACTTTTATTGAAAATGTACTGCCAAAGGACTTAGTCATTTCTGATCACGCAGTATCATCACTATTCATAATTGACTAAAAATGTGTTTCACTTTATTGTGACTAATTAAGACTGAATGACGCAAGCAATTTTAATTAAATAATATATTGCAATTGGAACAGCTTTGACAGTAAGTTATGAAATGTGACAAGTAGTATTTAATCTGACAGGAGCGATGAGTTGTTAATAATCCGGGGCACGGCCGAATTCGGAGTCGGGTTTTATGGATCACCTTTAAACTATCTCAAAAATCGCATCTGTTGCAGTAAATAACAAATGTGTAATTTACTTAATAATAAAGCAATTATAAATGTTTATGTTACTGGAAATACTCTAAGTAGGTAGTTTGGACCTGTAACCATGACACACAAATTCTCCAGTAAATAATGATGTGCATAATTGTACATATACATAACCGTCATTGCGAACGTGTAAACTAAGACTTTTTATGTGTGAATGCTAATTATTTCTGTTTTTTATAAGACTGCGAGTATCTCAAGTGTATATCCTTCTATTTATTATTCGACCTTTAGAAAACCAGTAACTGCTCTCTGAAGAATTGATGATTAAATAGACAGTTTATCTTTTCTTATACAGGTTACTGAAGTTAAGTTTGTGACGCATTTATGGATTTACCTGAATTTATGGCTGCAACTTATTATATAGTATTTTAATTAGTAGTAGTTATTGACGATAGAAGTTTGATACAATTAAAAAACTTTCATGTGAATACACGTTAATTATGAACAAATAAATATTACTTATAGTAAGTAACTGAATGCAATCAAATTATATTGTACAAATCATCGTTTTAAATATGTCCTAACCAATCGTTATCGTAAATGTCTGTTTGGGTAACAAAGAATGATTTATTTTTTGATTAAAACTTTGCAATTTATGTTATGACATATTCATTGGTGCCTACTTTAAATTATTGGATAACACAGTATATATAAATATTTGGTCACAGAACCTTATAATTTATCTGAAAGTACATACATAATGGATTTTTTTTATTTTTGGTCGTTACCATTAATTTAGAAAGTATACAACTTTAAAGTATATATTTATTCGTTTAAAAAATTATTCGATAAATTTGTATTGAAAAATACAACTGAAATGCAGTATTCCTTGTGATTCAGTTGTGTTCCTTTACTTTTAATATTTCATACATAAGGGATTTTTTATCTTAAGAACACTTAGTTTCATTGGATTGTAGACTAACGTATTTGTTTCCATGAGAATTTTTTCAAAAAATTATTTAATAAATATTATTTTAAATTCATTTTAGTTCCATGCCAGTACCAATCAACTAAATAATTATTGGCTTAAATATTGTTAACACTACTCAGTTCATTTTCATCGATAATTTATGGACTGTAATAAAACTATATTAAGAAGTTAAGGGATTGAAGAGTTTAGTTAAAAAAATGTGCTGTTTCTAGTCCAAAGAATAAAAAAAAATGGTTCAATTTAACTTGTAAAAGATTATTTATATACATATAAGGATTTGTTTCAAGTAATTAATTTTGCTAAAGAAAATTATGTTAACTAAGTGTTCGAAAACAGCTTTACTGAAGCGATTTTAAAAACTTATAAAAGCTCGAGTATGCCTTAGGGCTACTCATGTAATATTGACTGAAGATCAACGACTGACCTTTTAGAGAGCAGCATTTTTGTGTGAAACAGATTAGTGTTTTCCTGGTTACGATTAAAGTTGTAGAGTAATTATGTGTTTTAAATTCATGACATAAAGATAAAATAATCAGTGTTTTGTTATTTCGAGGCTAAAAAAATGAGGACCGGCTTTTCTTAATAGTTGATTATTTTTTCACCTGTTTTACGATGGTAAAATTACTTGTAATTAGCTTATTTAATCCTTTCCCATAAACAATAATTTAAAGTTATACTTAAAAGTTTACATTACCTTTCCCATAAACAATAATTTAAAGTTATACTTAAAAGTTTACATTACCACCGCATATGGGGTGTTCATTTGAGAAAGTCATACTTGTTTGATAAAATGTAGCGACAAATGCATGTGATTTATTATTTTATACTGTTATGTATAATTGACATTTCCGCGTTGTCAGTTGCCATTGGTTAAATTTAAGGTTTATTGTAGACATATAGTTTGTTCAGTAAGGTTGTGAATTGTCAAAATGTCACCATGTTGGCCTCACTGGTGAAAAATTAATAGGGATTTAAAAAATCGATAGTGCCGGAAATGTAAGGATTGCCCATTGAAGAAATTTATTTTGTCAAAATAATGGAGAGATTACAGCAAAAAAAAAAGAAAAAACGATCTCTCTACAAGAGAAAAAGTTTATATAATAAACTGTCTCTAAGAAATTGCAAACCAACTTTACTTAACAATGTTGACAAAAATCAAGGCCAACTTGATGGACTTTTTCACAGACAAAAACTAAAATGAAAAAACTGGATGATATAACACGATTCTGGAATTTGTGGTTATTTGCCAAAACCGGACAAGGACTGACTGCATTTTTTGTTTCTTAATATAAAAAGTTGATATGTAGATATTTTGCAGCATTTATTTCAGTCGTATTACCACGAGACAACAAAATGAGAATCCACAAAAACTGACAGACCAGTCACAGATATATTTCAGCTAACGTTAATTCATCAAGAAAAAAGTATTTGCTATGTAGAGACAGCTAAAACATCGGATGCTACATTTATTTTGTGTGTAAAGTTTAATGCAATACTGGATTTCGATAGTTTTCCATATTTTTTTAATAATGTTGTCAAATAAGTCACGCATCGTATTCGTTCTGCATTTGACTTTACAATAGTTTTTGCCACAAGTTTCTATATTTTAAAATTAACTTTTGATAATTTGCCATCGTTGTATATACAAAAAGTAGTCTATTTTCGATTTTATTGGTAGTGAGATTTCTATTGCTATAGTGGTTTATTTTCAGTCTCTACGGCCACTCTTGTTTTAAGGACGCTTTTTATGGCGCTGTTAAGAAGTTGTTTCCACGGTAACAAAGAGTCCTCAAAGAAACTTAACAACTAGAAATTACCACAAATTTTTTTCGCGTTACAACATTTTTTCAAAATTGCTAGACACCTTTATAAATCAATGTAGCTGAAATGCAACATGAACACCTTGAAAACTATTCCATTACTGCTTAGTGCGTCAGTTCACCATCAAGGCGATCGAATTTAAAGAAAATCCGAATTAATTAATTTCAGTGGAGAACTGCATTAATCTGGAAAGAATGTCTTTTTTTTTAAATTAAGTCATTAAGGATTTCAAGTAAAAACCTGTTTTGGGTGTTCATATAAAAAACTGCAACTCTCAGGTTGGACCTTGATTATTGTGCATTTATTAATAAGTGAGTACCTGATTTATAAAAACTTAATTATTCAGTGGAAAAGTAAACGAGTAAATTAATTTCAAATACAAAAAAATAAATATCGAATATCGAAGTGGTTAAGAACTTACATCACTATATCAATTTGTGCATTATTTATTAATTTAAAGTTTATTGTTAATGCAAACATAGTTCCAATAATTGTCATTCAATTTAAAGAAAAAAAATTGTAAAAGATTTTTTACAGCGAGATATGTTTATTAACTAATTAATGCATAGATTTCAGAGGGAAATTAGAAATTACAACTATTTCCAGAAATAAGATGAACAAACATTCATATTTGTTTTTCAGTGGAAATCCCATTATATAATTTGATTTTATTATAATTTTTAAAGTGTAATGAATGTTCCGTGAGAGTTAGTACCACGTAAAAATATTCTTTTTTACTTACGTATTTCTCTAGCAGGAGCACCTAACCCCACCAAACTCAAGCATAAACATAGGAGATACAAAAACATAATGATTACTAGTGAGTGTGGATCGAATAATATTACAAGAATAAATTAACATGGGTGGTTTCCATCATTATATACGATTTCTTGCTATGACGTCAAAGAATAACAAATAATCAGGCAGTTAAAAAAACGAAGTTTACAGACAACGTAATTGTAGTACACTTCGACCTTAAATGAATCTTTGATGCTTTAGATGCGAGTTAAACACGACATAATTTTTGCTGTGGAAGTTACGCAATTACTGTATTTAAGTAAAATGTTGTTGTAATTTTTCTAAAGCTTAAAATAAAGCAATTATCTAAAATTGCATGATGAAGATTTTTTGATGGTTTTTTATTAAAATATTCCATCAAGCCTTGATTACAAAAAAAAAAGAAATTTACGTAACCTAACCACTACAACTTTGTATAATGGGAAAACCGTAATTAAACGCAAATGGACGTCATGGTTTTGAAGGAGGGTCAGTATAGACGGGTATTTTTAGTATCAATAAATTCGTAGATGTCTAATTATTCAAATAAAAATTGATATGGCCAAACATATAAGAGAAAGAACATAATAAATGAGACCATGAATTAATATATTTTTGTAGATGTATAGAGATTTTTGTACGTTGGCAATTTTAAGTTGCAAATATTACTTGATTTTTTTGTGGGTATGTTTAGACACAAATTTGTTATCTTTGTCAGTTGTTAAGACACAAAATATTATAGCATGCTATAATGTCTAAATTATAAAAATATAAGTATAAATTTTTGCTGGTTGTGTTTGTTGAATCCAATTTAATCAACTTAGAACCAGATTTTTTTGTCTTATAGGCAACAGTGCAAACATCAATAAATTTTGTAGTGTGGCCTCATACTATACTTAAACAAAACAACCTCGTAATAATATATGTAATCGGCAGTTATTCGCATACACTACCATCACTCTCAGAATATCTTTGGAAAATTATGTTTGACAATAAAGCTATGCAAGTGAAACGTTGAGTTTTCATTATTTTGTAAGTAGGAAGCGAAGAATTGTAATAATATTAACATTGGGATTGAAGCTTTAGGAAAACAGACCTTGAGATTTGTAAAAATTTTACATAATTACTATGTGAAAGGAGTCGTTCTTTTTTAAAGCTATGTTGATCTTCGTCACACTTTTTTGTAAAAACGGGCTCTCATACGCAGAATGACAGATTCTAATAGAAATAATGAGTTAATGATATGATTTATTTAATAAACTAACGAAAATTAAACTAAGATGGTTTAAAAGCACTCCGTCGCTCTATTAACCATAATTAATGCTTGTATAGATGCATATCAGAAAGTATGTTTGTTATGAAATTCAGCTTTTTTATGACACTTAATTTAATTTTGACGTCGATAATAAGTATAACAGTAGTCAAAAGGTTACTACGTATTAGAATTATTCGAGATACCTAGAAAACTCATTTATCAACGCTTCTAAATGGCGAACTCCTTGAGTATTTGTTGTACAATAAAAGTTGTTTTTGTTTAAATACTTGTTTATTGTTTCATTTTAGTCAGTTATTCGTTTTGTTCAGTTAATTAATATTTAACACGTAACCGTTTTATTTATTTATACTTTCGTGCAGATCTTGCATTACCGCAAAGTATATTTATCAGTACGATTTCAGCATCAATAAAATTTGTACAAACGAGCAACATTTGTAAATCAATTAGTTGATAATGAGATGAGGAAAAAAATCAATAAAAATGAATTTGCTCCACAATACAATTAAGAAAATATATTGACGTTGAATCTCACGATTAGTTCCAGGGTAAGAATTTGAAAATAAAAATACGTCTTTAAATTGCACGTTTACGCAAAATTTAGATGGATGCAATAAATGGTTCTGGAAATACTTGAAAGATTTCATGCTTTTGACAAAAGTTATATGTTTCTTGGGTTTGCTAATTATGTAAAAATTTTACGCATGATGCAAGAGCTATCAAAGTTTTTTGTTATAAACTTTTTAACAGATATACATTAAATGTAACATTTTATTTTTGATTTTAGAATTTTTTGAGGAAAATGAATCACAAGATTTTTCTTAAATTTATGGTCATTAATAGTTATTTATGTTTTATGGGCATAATTAGGAGATTATGACACGAGGAAATGTTTAAAGCCCGACGAAAGATAGCTTTTAATTTCCCGAGGGCCATTTTCGATAATTATGCCCGTGATTGTGCCGATGCGAACTTTATTAATAAAAATAATAAAACTGACTATTTTGTTGTTATGTTTGTTTTGTTACGTTGTTTATTTTGTTAAATAATTCATTTTTCAAAATGTAAATTGAAGAAGCAAAATACGTTTATTTAAAAGAAAATTCAGAAGAATTGGAAGTCGCCCATTGAATGATTTGTTGAAATATGATTTTCCTCAACTTCAATAAAAATATTGAATATCGAAGCTTGTTTAAATAATTAATTGATTTAAATGATTAATCAATCGTTGCTTAACAATTCTTGATTGACCTGTGCCATAAAGGCCAATTTATGCCCGCATTTAGGTGTTTATAAACAATATTATGAATCTAAAATAGAGTAATAGTTATTTGTTATATAAGGCGACAAAGTGTTTCTTTAATTATTAAGTGAAAGATGTTAATTAATTATATTTCACGAGAAATTCTTTTTTTTTCTATAGCAGAATGTAAAGTCAATATGAAAATATATTTAGAAATTTAAATATCAAGCCCTATTTTCACTGCAGTAGTAGTTATATACAGCTTGTACATAAGTTTTTCATTGTATGTACAAAATACATGGATCTGTAATGTGCTAAATTAAACTTCCCTTTTCAAGTTAAAAACAATGGTGTACACAGAATTTCAATATCACTATCCATTCTCAAGAAATAAGGCCGCGAAGTTTTATATGGCACACCTGTATGTTGTAATCCTTGATTTGCTCAAATTTAGTATTATGTACATATATGTTCTACATAGGATTCTATTTGACCGCATCTTGATGGCATTCGGTATCGTATCACGCAGCTCTTCTTTAAAGTTGTCACTATTTTCTTTTGTTGGTCATATCTTCTAGTTTGTGGCTTTGATTTTTAGGTTAAATCTACATACCTACTTTTTTCAACCAAATTTTCGTTAAGTGTTTGTCGTCTAAATTCACTGTTTCCGAAATTATATCTAATGCAGGTCATCCTTGGAAATGAATCCGTATGTCTTTTCTAAAATGATATGTTTAATTACACTGTGTCTAACACTACGTTTTTACATAAAAACATTAATTTTAATTACCAACAATTTTATAAGCTAATAATAATTGAAATAGAGACCCAGAAAGGCTAAAACTATCATTCTTATAAACTGATTTTCAACTTTGATTTAAATTTTACTTCAAGTTATTAATCAATTTGGCTGTGACGTTAAAAACTGTCACATGATACGTCACTTCAAAGCTTACCTTTCTTGTTGATTTAAGCAGCTTGGGATTAATTTTGGAAAGAATTTCTCAACGATTTTTACAACGCATGACAACGATGTGTGATAAATTTCCGAGACACCTCGTCCCTACAAAGAAAGGAGAGAAAGATAAGAGAACTACAAAAAACGTTGGAAATGTTAATACAGATCAGTGAAGCAGACGGCTAAACATTTACAGAATCTTTAGCGTAATTACCATATGGAACTTGTCGAGCAATATTGCCAAAAGATTAAGCTTTGTTTTTTTATTGCTTTACACTGTGCAAGAATTATATGTGGCCGATTTTTCAGCTAGCGTTGACATTTAGTGAAGCAGCTGTGAAAAAATTTAGACCACGGCCCCAGAAAGAGGTAAGTGGGCCATTTGTTGTAAATCTGAATATTTTTTGAAGGTGATCATGGTAATAATAATAATAATCAGCTTATTCAACGTAATCCTCTTCAAGGTAATCTTACTGTAGGTAAATTGTGGTAGATTTTATGCAACTATCACTTCACGATGCTGAAATGGAAATAAGTTGTTTTCAACACGATGGGGCTGCAGCGCATTCTACTAGGACCACAATAGCAATTATTTAACAACCGGATAATTCGTGAAATGTAGAGAATATTTGGCCCCCGAGACTTGTGATCTTACTCCTGTAGAGTTTTTGTCCCTATTTAAAGGACACGAATCATTAATAATGGCGAAGTATGTCTGATAGAGTGTAATCCACAAAAGAATTGCAGGTAGCTCTACAAGAACCTTTAAAAAAATATAGAGAGTTGCAAAAAAATGTTGCAGATAAACCCAAAAAATATATAGGGTGTCAAAACACATTTTCATGATGTCATTTATCTTCTCACACTGTTGCTCGTATTAGCTATAGATTTTTTTGATGTACAGAGGTCATCATAAATAAAAGTTCACAAAATAGTTATTTTCTTCAAACATCAGAAAAACGGACCTTTGTATACCACCACACATAGTAAAAGATGCATTTCAATGCCATGTCTGACGGCGTCAGAAAAAATAACTTCGAGATTATCTCGCGTATGGTAGAATTGATTGCAAACAAGGTTCATGGTGTGTAGTCTGGTTGTGTGGTCGTATGATGTAGTGGATAGTGAGATTATGTAAAAAGAAATGTTAAATTTTAACTTGATTGAGACCTTTGAAGAAAAAATAGTATGTTTTATTCGGAGTAAAAGTGCCTTTTCGTGCCTCGTCTATATTCAAAAATGCGGTCAACCGAAACAATAATAATCAACTCAATTATAAAATACCTCTTATTAATCTACTTAAATATCACTTTTTTAAATTTATCAGTAAAATGTCTATGGGTTAGAATAAATTGACACTGGTCTCCCTGATTTTAAAACAATAAATATTGTTACGAAATAAACCCATACGCCGCCCCGGTATGACGCCTATGGGTCGTCGAGAGCTTTCTGGTATGTCCGGTGATGATGGGTGAGTCGTCATCGGTGACGGTAGCCTAGAGGCGTTCCATAAAGACAAGTCTGGAGCAAGTCTCGATTGCGGGGCCCAGAAAAACGGCGTTCTCGATCCATCGAGAGGAACGTATAGGTTTAAATAGAGGCC